TCGTCATACTCATATTCTAGTCAGAATGTGAGTCTGATACTGCTTCATAGGGCTTTGATTATGAGGCGTGTCTTAACCGAACCAGGAAAAAAAACAACCTCTGCACTCAATTGGATAGATAGACCTACAACCAATGAGAGCAACGCAGTAAGTCAACTACTTTGCATAGCACAGTTGTCAACTACATGTACTCAAATGCACGCACGCTGGAAGAAGTAAAATAACGAGTGTTGCTTCTTTTACTTGGCCCTCTATGAGTGCGACCAAAGGAGAAACTACAACGACCACAGGGTTTTTATTGCGTCCCATCTTCTTAGTTACCATCGGAGCCAGCTGATAAAATAAACTTTTGCCGAATCCCGTAGGAAGGACGGCAAACACATCTTTCCGATCGACAAATGCCTTGATTGCAGTTCTATGGTCGTCTTTTAAAATGAATGCGCTGTCGATTTCTTTTACAACAGACGCGATAGCGCAATCTAATACATCTCAGTTCTCCAGCGGCAGTCATCTCTGAGGGAAACCAGTTCAACCCAAGCGCTCTTTGATAACGTGAGGATTACGTCCCTGCAGATCATCTGTCCATCATCGTATAAAGCCCGCCCTGGCAATTTGATTGGCCCAACGATTTCTGAACCGATCATAATTATTCCTCAATGGAGCGAGTCCAGACCGAACTTCCCGATCAAAAAATGTTGTGGGCGGGGTTCGGGCTGGCATCCAGGCTAAGCGAAAGGGCTACATGGCTGACGAATCCGATTGAGCAATAAAACATCTGAAAACATTAAATTCTATACTTTAAAGCCTGTATGTTGTATGTAATTGCAAATTATCTAACAAACAACGTGGAATTTATTATGGTGATGGAGAGAAATATTAACACTAAACTGACAAGCGATGAAAAAGCACACGATCCGGAGCTTGCGCGACGTATGAGGTCATGTATTTCGCCGTCTTGAGGTTGCACATGCGCGCTGAATGGGAAATGGGAAACTCACAAGGGGGTAATCCATCGACCGGAAGTTGAAGCCCGCCGGGTGCCGCCATGTTGTAGCAGAACTTCACTTGCGTTAGCATTTCCATTGACTCCCATTCATTTTTGCGTCACTTTGACAGCGAATAACTTTACATCTGAGGCGTTTAAAGACTCTATTTGTCCATTATTTATTTCTAAAGAAACACGACAATGTATAAAGGGCTCCATTACCTTCTATGTTACACTATGGCCCCGTAGAAACAGATTTAGTAAAAATAGGCTAACGGGTTCCGGCAAGATGGCGGATCGGGTGCATTGCAGGGTTTGAGCTCTCTAGGCCTGTCCCAGATTTTAACACATATTTCGCTATCCAATGGACATATTGTGCTCCTTTTGAATCTACAAATAAAACGGAACCTCCGGAAAAGTTTGTACACCATGACGTCGAAGAAACAGAATCTGGCTTTATCACGCAGCAACGTGACACCTGTCGACCACGAGTATGCTGGAAGGATGGAGGTGGATTCCACCGAGAAACCTAAAAGAAAAGACCCGTTCTCACCACTAAAGATCACACCAGCTGCGAAAAAGCAGGATACTGGGACAGAAGGGAATGAAGCTATGAATACGGTCCTGGGAGCCATAAAGCAGCTAACTGATAAGGTGGATACACTAGGCACTCAGCTGCAACATAACTCCATCATGTTGACCAGCATTGCAAAGGCTGTCGAGTTCAACGCAGCAGAAATTAAAGATTGTAAAATGCAGTTACAATCGACTGTTCGTGATGTGTCGGCTGTAAAGAAAGACAACTCGGAGCTAATGGAGCGTGTCTTGGAGCTAGAACGATACAAACGCCGGTGGAATCTTAGGATTCGTGGATTAAAGGAAAAAGAAGGTGAAGACATACGTCAGGCGGTCGCTGATTTACTCGTTAAAATCTCACCATCATGGTCCTCGAGTATCAATCAGATTGTGGACTCAGTTCATCGAATAGGGAGACGTGAAGAAAACACAACAAGACACGTCATAATTCAGTTCACTCAGAGATTCCATCGAGATGCGTTGTGGAGATTGACCAAGGATCACGCGATCTGCAAAGAACTTCGTATCAGCTTCATCGAAGACCTCTGTAAAGCCGACAGGGAGACCCGAGCTGCACTGTGGCCTAAAATAAAAGAAGCAAGAGATGCTGGAAAGCGTGCATACTTCAGAGGGGGTGCCGGATACATTAACGGACAGCGAGTCACTTAGGAGCACACAAGGTAACGTCTAGGATCAAGAGGTCTGTTTTGTTCAAGGCTTGGAAAGGCCGTTTGACTTTAAGATCTTTTTGGATGGTTTCATTAATCCAATCTGAAGGGACACTGCCTATTTGAGCCTTTTCTCTTTCTCACTTTTCTTCAAAGTTTAGTCTGTTGGACATTTATATTTACTGACGGTTGTCAATTTTCTTTTTTCTTTTTCTTTTTGTTTTTGTTATGGATGTTTCTTTTTCATGTATTTCACTTAATGTTAGGGGCTTAAGAGAGAGCACTAAGAGAAAATCAATATTTTTGTTTTGTAAGGGCGAAAAAGCGCACTTCACTTTGATGCAAGAAACTCACTCAACACCAGAGGATGAAAAGTTTTGGGTAAACCAATGGGGTGACAAAATCATCTTTGATCATGGGTCTACTAGATCAGCAGGTGTTGCCATCTTGTTCTGTAACTCACCAGGTAAAATAGTGACATCTAGATTTAGTAATAATGGTCACTGGCTAATTTGTGTTATGAAAATAGATGATCTCTATTTTATTCTGGTCAATGTTTATGGGTTCAATAATTTAATTCAAAATAGACAGTTGATTTCGGATGTTTCTAATGTCATTGCTACCCTTAAACTCAGTTATCCCACTGCGAATATAGTTATGGGTGGTGACTTTAACATGGTTAATGATGAATGGCTTGATAGATGTCCATCCAGATGTAATCACAGTTGTTACAACCCTGTTTTAATGGATATTTGTCGCACTCACAATCTTTTGGATCCCTGGAGATTTAAATATCCTAACATGAAGCAATATTCTTGGTTTAAACCAAACAATGTAGCAAAGTCGAGAATAGATTTTTGGTTACTCTCTGTCTCCATTAAAAACTCCATCAGTGACTGTAGTATGTCAGCAGCTCCTCTCACAGATCACGCTGTTATTAAATTGTGTTTTAATCCTCCTGGTGTTAGCCGACAGAATAAAGGGTACTGGAAATTCAATTCTAGTTTATTAAAAAGCCATTCATTTTATGAAGGTATCAAAGCCACGATTGCTAATGTGATGTCTGATAATTCAATAGTATCTTATATCTCCAAATGGGAATTCTTGAAATTTAAAATGAGAGAATATTCTATTCATTTTGGAAAAACAACTAATAGTAGTAACAGATTATCTGAAATTAATATTATTAAAGAGATAAATATTTATTATAATAAAATTTCACCTACTGATAATGATAAACAGAAATTACAAAATCTTCTAAACAAGCTTGATGATATCTATCTTCGTAAAGCGGAAGGGGCCTTTATCAGGTCCAGAGCTAAATGGATTGAGGATGGGGAAAGAAGTACCTCATACTTCTGTCGTTTAGAAAAAAGAAGGCAAGAGAAACTTTCAATTAAAGCTTTATCACTTCAGGATCAGGTAATTACAGACCAAGTTTCAATTTCTAAAGAAGTTGTTTCTTTTTACAGTAAGTTATATTCCTCAACATTTTCTCTGGACGATGAAGTTTTATTTTTCAACCATATTAAAGATCTTATTCCCCAGATGATGAAGATGTAGCACGCTGTGATGCTGTTATTTCCCCTGATGAGTTAGATAAAGTAGTAAGTAGCTTGGCTTTAGACAAATCTCCAGGATGTGATGGCCTTACGGCGAATTTTTATAAACACTTTTGGAATTTACTAAAAGACCCTTTTTTGCTTATGTTAAAGGAAGCAACTGAAAGTTTGACTTTCCCTCTCTCTATGAAACAAGGGGTCATAACCTTAATCCCCAAACCTGATAAGGACCCAAAAATTTTAGATAACTTTAGACCAATCACATTATTAAACACTGATTATAAAATTGTTACCCTCATATATGCTAACAGATTGAAATTATTTTTACATAAAATTATTAGTGATTCCCAATCCGGTTTTATGAAGGGGAGATCCATACACAACAATATTCGTTTAGTGCTTGATCTTTTGGATTACAGACATCTAATAAAAGATGATGGCTTTATTCTCTTCATTGACTTCTACAAGGCTTTTGATTCAATCGAACACCCATTTATTTTTGATTGTTTAAAATTGCTTGGTTTTGGAGATAAATTTCGAAATATTATTAAATCCCTTTATGAAAATTCTAATAGTTCGGTTTCCTTACCAGGAGGTACATCACCAAGATTTCCAATCAATCGTGGCATAAAACAGGGTTGCCCTATTTCCCCATTTCTTTTTATTATAGCAACAGAGATGCTTTCTATCTTTGTCAGGAACTCATGCATAGCCCCATTAGATATACTTGGCCAGCCAGTAATCATCAGCCAATTTGCAGATGATACGACCATTTTCTTAAAGAAGCTAACTGAGGTCCCAAAAATTTTACAATTAATTAACACCTTCTCTAAAGCCTCCGGTTTGAAAATGAATTTGAACAAGTGTGAATTAATGCCAATTCATCAATGCCACTTAACTGAGGCCTATAACATCCCTATAAAATCAAAAGTCAAGTACTTAGGAATGCTTATTTCAAAAGATTCTGTTGAAAATGAAAATATGAATGTGTGGAAAGTATTAGATAAATGTCAAATGAAACTTAACTCCTGGCTTTTGCGGGATATAAGCTTATTAGGTAGAGTATTTTTGACAAAGATGGAAAGCATATCAAGATTAATCTATCCTGCATATACAATAGCTATTTCAAACAAAGCCATTAAAAAAATTAATCAGGTCAACTTTGGTTACATCTGGAGAAAGAAAACCCATTACATCAGAAGGGTAGAGATGACAAAAGACTATAAAGATGGTGGGTTACAAGCCATTGATTTTGATGCTATAAATGGGACCCTAAAAATTAACTGGTTGAAATCCTGTTTAAACCACAATAATTTTTGGTTTCATATTCCCAGAGAATTGTTTAAGAAATTAGGAGGTATAGAATTTTTACTAAATTGTGATTTCACCGTTCAACGTCTGCCGATAAAATTATCCAAATTTCATCAACAGGTTTTGTTATACTGGAAGATTTTTTATAACCATAATTTTACACCACACAATACACCATTATGGAACAATAGATATATTATGGTCAGGAATAAATCACTGTTTGACAAGATTTGGATGGAGAAAGGTATTTGGGCTGTGTCCCATTTAATTGACAGCAATACTGGAATTATATCATATGAGCATTTTTGTGTTAAATATAATTTCAATTGCAATCGGGCCAGTTTTGAATCTATTACTAAAGCCATCCCTAAAGCTGTCGTATGTCAAATTAAAGAAATTCTCTCTTATTCTGTCTCTATAATCCCACATCTTCCAGTACTGTTAGTTGAAGGCCGTGAGTTTAAAGGAAGCCAACTTTCAAATAAAAATGTTAGAAATAAATTCAATCACATTTCTTATCCTTTATTAGTGTATAGAAACTCAATTTCACATTCTTTCTCAAAAGATAGCATTCACAGACTTAGAACTGGGTATTTAAAATTCCCGTTACCCCCCAAAGTTAAAGAAGTACATTTTAACATTTTAAATGGCATATATCCATCGAGTGAATATTTGCGACATAGATTTGGTTTTGACTCAAATAAATGTTTATTTTGTGATGATATTGAAACCACGGAGCATCTGTTTTTTCACTGTATGTTTGTGGAGGCCTTATGGTCTGATATTTACGACTGGCTCTACCCAAAGATACCTCACCTCGAAGACCTCACTGAAAAGGACATTATTTATGGACGTTTAATGAATAATAACAAAGATAACTTCCTGGTTAATAATATCCTTATGCTGGGGAAATTTTTTGTACACAAATCAAAATACCTTAAGGTGAAACCAATGTTCTGTGCATTTCATGGTGAATTTGTTTCATTTACAAAAGCCCTCAAAGTGATAAAAAAGAAAAATGCAATTAGTCTTTTATCTGTCATAGAAGAGTATGATTTAACAAAAAAACCTTAGCCCCTACTTTATTTGTATTTTATTTATTTATTTGAAGTTTATTTTATTTCATGCACCTGTGCTGTAATTATTTGTTTGTATTATGTAAAGAATTGTTACTATTGCCTTACTGTTTGTACATGAATAATTGTTCAAATAAAAAAAAATAAAAAAAAATAAAAAAAAATAGGCTAACGATTGCGTCATAACCACTCGACTCTCTGTCGCGCTGTACAGAAGTTACCGTACAGACAGGAGGAGAAGCTCGCAGGCAATCGGGGGGACGTCCCGTCAAGGGAGAAGCCCATAGATAATGAGTCCATAAAAGCAACGGAATTCTTACTCCTGCTCACTCACGCCAAATAACTCTTTGCTCAAGTTCCCCGTCTCTGCAAGATTAACGTTGGCAGTTTTCACGCACAGTTACTAGAAGATTGACGTCTGTCAGACAGGTTGCTCACGTCATCAAGCTTAGTTTGAGTCGGTCTGAGTCTGCGCGTCAGGAACGGAAGTGCTCAAAAATCGCTAAAAGTGGGCTTCAACTGTCTCAACTGAGTTCCAATGAGATCGCTCTGTCCATTTATTTTACTGTCTATGGAAACTCACCACCACAGCTGAACGTGATTTCCAAGCAAGCAGTTTAGTTTCAGTTTACTTGCGTCATTCCGTCTGCAGCATAGCAGGGGTTCCAGTTACAAGCTCCTGTGCAACTATCTTCTAAATCATGAAGCGCGGTAAGTAGCTCAAAGATTTGCTTTTTTATATTTTATTTATTTATTTACCTTAATTTTACCAGGAAATAATCCCGTTGAGATTCAAAAACTCTTTTTCAAGGGAGTCCTGGCCAAGACAGCAGAATGGTAGTTTCATATTAAAAAATATAAAATATACAAACATTTGACAGAAAAAGACATTTGGCAATTTAACATCATCTCAACATAATCACCAGCAGCGCTCAGTAAAAGCACATGTGCATTTAGTACTCAAAAAGTCCTTTATCCTAATTTTAATCTGGTTCATTGTCGGTAAATAGTCAAATTTTAGCTGAGTCTGCAATTTGTACCAGGAAAAAGGTGTAAAAACTTTAAAGGCACCTTCATCGAAGACAGTTCGCTTTCGTGGGATATCATTTGCCCATATGATCGAAGATTACATTTCTGGGAGTATAACTTTGGGAGTCAGAAGAGAACATAAGTAAGGAGGCAGTTTACAAAGTGGCCTTAAAAAGAAAAAAAGAAATATAAAAAAATATACCAGTGCTCCAGCCTGCGATTGTGCAAAGATGGCCGGCCAACACTCTCATACAAGCTATAATGATGAGTACGAAAATTAGAATTAGTTACAAATCTTAGTGCTGCATGATAAACTGAATCCAGCATTTCCAGAGAAGATTGATTTGCATGCATGTATAAAATATCACCATAATCCAGCATTGAGACAAATGTTGTTTAAGTATAAGTGTTTTTCTAGTACTAAAAGAGAAACAGACTTTGTTTCTATAATAGAAACCCAACTTTACTCTAAGTTTTTTGTGTTCTATATGCTGTTTGAAGGAAACTAAGATATTTATAGACTGATACATACTCATTCAATTACTTTCTCATCTAGTGTAACAATTTGACAAGCATCTTCTGTTTTCATTGATTTAGAAAAACACATCATTTTAGTTTTATCTGTTTAGTACAAGTCTCAATTTATGAAGATTCTTCTGAATAATTTTAAAAGCAGATTGCAGATCTTCTATGACACTTGTCAAGGATGGGGCAGAACAATACAAAACGGTATCATCCACATAAAAATGACACTTTGCTTTTATTACATTCTGATACAAGTCATTTATATAAATGGTAAATAAAATTGGACCCAAAATATACCACCCCTGGGGGACACCATTTTGTATAAGTAATGAGTTTGAGGACACACCATCAACTTGAACAATTTGTGTTCTGCCACTCAAATAGTTGCCAAACCATTTCACAGCTTTTGGAGACATTCCAATATCCACCTATCTCTGAGACAGGACATAGTGGTCAACTGTGTCAAACGCCTTTGAAAGATCGAAGAACAGCGCAGAACAATATTCTTTAGAATCAATAGCACTTATAAAATCATTTAGCACTTTCATAGTGGCAGTGACAGTGCTGTGTTTTTTACGAAAACCTGACTGCAAATCATTTGAAATGTTTTTTGTTTCTAAATAATCTTTCAATTGATCACTTATAAGCCCTTATAAAACCTTAGATAAAGCAGATAGCTTAGATTATGGCCTATAATTATTTGGATTTGATCGGTCACCACCCTTTAATAAAGGAGTGGCATATGCTGACTTCAATACAATCTGTATTAATCCAGTTTCAATAGTCAGGTTGAAAATGTGTGTCAAAGGTTCTGCAATATGTTCAGCAGCAATATTTAAAAAGTAAGGATCCAACCCATCAGGACCAACGGATTTCTTAGCATTTAACCTTATAAGAGCATCATATACCTCCTGCGTTGCAATAGGAACAAGATCAAAATCGATAGGTACATTTTCCCTAGACAAAGAGTAGTCCTTTTGTCTCATCTGTTTTTGTTGCATGCTCAAACAACGATCCAGAAGATATAAAGTGCTGGTTTAGGGAATCTAGCATACTTTTCCTGTCTGTAATAATTTTATCATTCAACTTCAATATATTTGGCATGACAGTATCCCTAGAGTCAGAAGACAGTGATTTTATAACTTTCCAAAATTTAGAGGGATTAGCTGAACTATCACATATTTCATTTGAAAAAGATACAAATCTGATTTTGCATTACGTATTTGAGAGACAAATTTGTTTCTCAGGTGCCTAAAACGTTGCCAGTCTGAGCTATTTTTGGATTTCTTTGCCATTGACCAAGCAAGATCACGGTCATGAATTAGATCAGACAATTTCTCTGAAAACCACGGATTATCACGCCCTTTAATCTTATATTTCCAAAAAGGAGCATGCTTGTTTATAATGTCCAAAAAATTTTGCAACGCTATTTCGGGCTCTGGTATCAAATTCACCCTGGTCCAGTCACAAAGATTAAGATCAATAAAAAAATCTTGTTCACAGAACAACTTTTTATAACGGCGGTTTATATTTAGATATCCTGGTATCTCTCACACCAGCAATAACGCAGTGATCACTCATATCATTTGCAAAAACAGCAGTAGCTTTGTATTTCTGCGGCACATTTGTTAAAAACAAATCAAGGAGTGTAGACTTTTCGGGATGTTTAGGATTTGGCTAGTATTTAGGTGAGTCTATAATTTGGATCAGATTTGCTGAGTCACAAAAACTTTTAATTTGATTAATTTGAATCATATCCGATGCAGGTGTTAGCCACTCCCAATTTAAGTCACCCATTAAAGCCAATTCGGTATATTTTATAGATGACAAACAATCAGACAATGAGGAGAATGTGTACTTTGGTGCAGAAGGAGGTCTATAGCATCCTGCAACTTTCATAACATAATTCTACGATAAATTAAATTTCAACACTAGCAATTAGAACATGAATGTATTAAGACAGTGCTTTCTGAAACTTTTAGGGTCCCCACTCATTGTGATTTTGGGCCAAGAGTTTTTTGATGGAATAAAACAGTCACTTAAAAAAAGCATACTTAAAAGATGTTTCAATTTTCCATGTTGTTAAACAAGGCTTATGCCATACATCCAGCTCCCCTGACTGCCGACTGAGTTTATGAATGTGAGATGTTATGCAAGTGTAAAATGCAGGAGGTATGAACTCCTTTTGCAGGACCTTTCACATTCAATTAGAAATGGGATAAATCTAATGGATGGTAATCTTCAAATGTATAGATAGTCTAACCATTAAAAATAAACAACATAAATGTTCAATCAGAAAATAAAATCGTAATATTTAGATATTTGTTGTTCTTCATATAGCTAGAAATGTGTTCTTATGTATAAAGTACTTGCACTGCAAAATCGTTGTAAAATAGGTTTAATGCGTGATCCGCGTTAATACTTGAAAAGTAGACAATATAATGTTTAGCTACTTTTCAAATATTATAAGAAGCCGTATAGTTTAATATTAGTCTATAAAATAATTTGTAATGTTTGTACAGTACATTTGTAATGTTTGTACAGTATTTAACAATGGCTTCGAACGCGACCAATCAGAATCAAGGAATGGACTTTAGTCTATTGTATTTTGTTCTATGTGCACTCTCAATCGAGAACCGGAACTATCCGTTTTAAGCAAGTAAGAAGAACTCTTCAAAAATAAGATTTCCCCAAAAGGATTGTGTTACAAAATAACTGACGCAGACATTCTTCCTCCGTTTGGCTTGATACATCAGCAAAAAGTTGCTGTTAGTCCATAGACATTTAGTAGCCTATCTCTCTCTAATCTTATTCAAATTCATTAGGCCTATTTGTCAGGTAGTAGGCTACTCAATGAACATTTAAGAATTCCAATATAATTTAAGGCATGTATAGGCCTAGTTAAAAATAACTTCTGCAGTGATTTCATCAGGTTTATTCTTTTTCAGGACTCTTCACCATTATTGGGGTCGCAACCGGGGCAGGTAAAGTTGTTCTGAGGGTTGTTTCTTCAAATTAACGCAGATCAGTTGTAGCCTACAGAAGATAGTTAGTGCTGTTTATGTCCATTAGTTGGTGCAGTTGTATTGGCTCCGGTGGCGCTCACCATGGCTGGATTCACCTCTGCTGGTATAGCAGCGGGTTCTCTGGCTGCCAGCATGATGTCATCAGCAGCCGTCGCCAGCGGGGGAGGAGTGGCTGCGGGGAGTTTGGTCGCGCTCCTCCAGTCAGCAGGTATTTTTTATTAAAACTTAAAAGGAAGTTGTGATGGTCTTTTCTTCCATATTGTGACGTATCCAGATGAAACTGCTTTTTGAACAAGAAAAAAATGTAGGGAGTTGTGGTTTGCTATTGCTGTGATGTCATATGAGTGACAGGTTGTCCCGCCCTCGCGCCAGTAAGCACGTCATTAGAGAAGAGGGAGGGGAACCTATTTTGATTAAAGATTAACAGGGCACATAAATAAAAAATGTATTGTAAAAAATATGATCAATAAGTAATGGCAGGATATGTTTTTTCATTGCTTTAACTTATAAAAAAATATATATGAAAATTGCTTAACTTAAGCCCCTTTCACACAGAGATTCCGGAAAATACACGGATAAAGCGACCCGGGATTTGACCCGGGTTCGTTTGATTTTGCTTCATTCACACTGCCAGTGATTTGCCGGAATCAGAGAGCGCGTTCACACACAACCCGTGTATGTTCCGGAAAGACACGTGACATCGATGTGACATGTAATGTCTCAGCAACGTGTATAGTTTGCTTATGAGCTGCGATTTCTCTCTGGAGAAACCACGCTTGTGCATTTTTTTCTCTGATTCGATCATAAACTAGAGCATTACGTACCGTTTCACTAGCCTGCTTTCACTTCACTTCAGCGTCATCATTACGACACGGCATTGGTTACAGCTTTTGTTCACACAGCGCGTTCCGGGTCTGAAAACGGCAATGTTACGGTCCCCAACCCGGCATCGATCCCGGCATCAATCCCGGGTCATGTTTGCGTTCACACAGAAGGCACTCTGGCAATTTGCCTGGTTCAAAGCGCTGTGTGAAAGGGGCTTTATTTTGACAAGTTATACAAGAGATTCAACCATTTTTTTAAAGTCAGTTTAATGTAATTTAAGCTGAAATGACTTAAACATGATTGTATTTAATTTCAAACAGCAATTTTTGGTAACGCTTTAGATTACAGCCCGGAAAGTACTGCGTAATTAAAGCAATTTTACAGCGTAACCTTCGGTAATTATAGTGTACCTATAACGACTTACAATATAAGTATAAAGAAACAAAATGTAAAGTTTGGGGAATAAAGGGGTAACAACCAGGAGAATTAAAAAATGATTTATACTAAGTATTATAGAACTAAGGGGTACTTATTCTACTATTATGATATAACAATCTTACATTTGGGATCAATTTAGCAAGAACATACACTGCGTACCTTTTTGAAATAATGGTGAACCAGTACATACTGTATAAGCTTTATAAATGCATAGATATGTACCCTGTAATTTTTAAAAAGTAATCTTTTTAACAAAAGTGCACTGAAAACGAAAACTATTGCAACTTTTGCTTAAATATTGTGGAAAGATACTCTTGTTTCATGTAGCTTGTTACCCCCTTGTTCCATGTAGTTCTCTTACGAGAGGTTCTCTCGTATTGCGTAAGCTAGCTTGCGCTGCGGGAAAGATTCATCTTTGCTGAGATATTGAAGGCAAAAATTATTTCATAATTTGTATCCATACACAACGCATTTCCTCTGCGGCAGACCTAGAGCAGGCTAGCTAGCAGCTCATTGGTTCGCTCAGAGAGAACTGCTTAAGCCTATGGGAGAGCGGGGCTGAACCCGCTTCCAATGAGAGGCGCCCGCGCGCTCATTGCGTCATGGCCCGCCAGAATGGGCGTGGCCATGGTGTATATAACAGTCTCTCCCAGGCTTATATGTTGATTCATTTCATCTTCAGCAAGCTGCACGCTTCTGCTGTCCTGAGAAAAGCCGTCGCCGTCGAGAAGGCATCACTCTAGCGAGCTCCCGGACCCTGAAGAAGCCGGCCGTCTTCGCCACCTTCAGCCGCCCTGCAAGCTAGCGCCATCCGACGACTGTATCCTTCTCGATTATATCTAAAAGAGCCGAGCGTCTTTTTAAAGATGTCTCGTTTTTCCTGCGGCTCTTGCCGCGCTCGTCTCGAGGACGGAGACCGCCATGTCATCTGCGCTCTCTGCCTGGGACTCGAGCACGCAGAACTCGCCCTCGCGGATGGAGGATGCGACTTCTGTGAGAGCCTGCCGTTGTCGTCCCTGCGGGCACGACTTCTGGCAGCAAAATCCGCTCCCGCGCCGCCTTCCTCTTCGCCGCGTAAGAAAAAACGCCGCTCCCAGAGGCCGCCGGAGCCCCCAGCGGAACAATGCGGGCCGCCGCCTCCCGCTTCCCGCTCTCCCTCCCCGCCCCTGCCGGACATACAGTTGCCGCCGAGTGGCCGCTCTGTCGCTTCCGATGACGCCGCGGAGGAGAAGGACTCCTGTTCACTGCTCGCATCAGACAGTGAAGAATGGTCATCTCTCGGATCCACGAGAGAATCGGCGGGGATCCGCGCCGGGATAGAGGAGGAACTAATGCGCCTCCTCTCACAGGCCGTCGAACGCCTCGGTCTCGAGTGGTCTCCTCCACCCGAGCAGGCCCCGAACCGGATGCACGGCAGCTTTTTTCATCGGCGCTCGACCCCCGCGTGCAACCGGGCCGCTCCATTCCTGCCTGAACTTCACGCAGAGCTGACGAAGTCCTGGAATGCCCCGCTCTCGGCTAGAAACCGCTCTGATATATCCGCCTCGCTGCGCTCGGTGGATGGAGCCGCCGAGAAAGGCTACTCAGCCATGCCGCCCGTCGAGGACTTGGTCGCCGCACACCTCTGCCCGCCCTCTGCTAGATGGCGCTCTTCCCCCACGCTTCCTTCGAAAGCTTGCAGAGCGACCTCGAGCTTTCATGCTCGCGCCTACGCCGCCGCCGGTCAGGCCGCCGCAGCGCTACATTCGATGTCTGTCCTCCAAGTATTACAGAGCGATATTCTCCGTGAGTGGGCCGAAGGCGGTAGAAACCCCTCCCCCGCTGTCACGGATCTGAGAAGTGCTACGGACCTCGCCCTTCGCGCCACTAAAGCCGCCGCACAAGCTCTGGGGAGATGCATGGCCAGCCTTTGTGTTGCCGAGAGACACTTATGGCTCACGCTCGCCGACATGGGAGATTCTGAGCGCGCCGCGTTTCTTAACGCGCCCCTCTCCCCGACGGGCCTTTTTGGATCTGCTGTCACGGGAATCGTCGATCGCTTTTCTGAGGTCCAGAAAGCTACTCAGGCGATGAATTTGTTTCTGCCCCGCCGCAGTAGCTCTTCCGCGGGCCGCTCTCGCGAGCCTCCTGCTAGAGCTCCACCACAGCGCCCCCCTCCGCAGACTCAAACAGCCCAGCGCAGACAGGGCGGCCGCCCTCGCTCTCGCTCTGACAGCCGCCGCAGACCGCCGCCCCCACGAGGCCCGCGACCTAAGATCACGCTGAAGCCTGATCATCAGAAGTCTGCCTAGCAAAGTCAAGAAAACGACGGTGCTCTCCCGCTGCGGCCGGACCGCCGTCAAAGCTTCGCCCTCTGCCAGTCCCCGTTATTTCGCCGACTGCTGTAGTGTTGACCGCCACAAACAAGCCGGTGTCCCAGCCCGCTTGCGAGCGACAAAAAGCCGTTTTTACGGCTACCCAGAGAAATCTCAAAAAGAGAAAATTTGCCAGTTGTGTAGAAAATGTGCCCACAATCATGTGCTCACCCATACACACAAGCATAACATACCCCGTGTCTCTATCAGAGCCCCATCACATGAAACGGGCACAGCCCGCTCTAATATCAGAGAACATAAGCACGCCCACGAGCTCGTGCGCGTGTCCCCTCTCTGCTCGCTCTGTTTCACGGCCCATAGACTCCTCTCTGAGTGCAAATCCCGTTGCCACACACATTCAAAGCGCGCCCACACACTGTGTCCAGCCCGCTATGTGCAGCAATCAGGGCGATATAGCCATTCGGCCACTAGCCGAATGCTCCAAAGCGTGGGAAGCCATTCCAGGCATTCCCCCGTGGGTACTAAGCATTATAAAGAACGGCTATCTGCTACAGTTTCGCCGCCGCCCGCCTCGTGCGCGCGCGCGGCTCGAATCTACTGTCAGCCCGCTGGCCGCCGGCACGCTCTGCTCAGAAATTGCGACGCTGTTGCAAAAGGGCGCCATAGAGAGAGTCCCACCATCTATGACCGAGTCGGGGTTTTATGGCCGTTATTTTCTGGTTCCCAAGAAAGACTGCGGCCTCAGACCGATTTTAGATCTCAGGTCTTTGAACAAAGTGCTCATGAAGAGACCGTTCAAGATGCTCACTACCAGGAAACTCCTCGCGCAGGTGCGCCAGGGGGACTGGTTCATCTCTCTAGACCTGAAAGACGCCTATTTTCAGATCCAGATAAATCCCCGTCACAGGCCATTCTTACGTTTCGCCTTCGTGGGTCATATTTATCAATACGCCGTTCTCCCGTTCGGCTTATCCCTGGCGCCCCGCACATTTACGAAGTGCATGGATACGGCGCTCGCCCCCCTGCGGAGCCAGGGGCTGCGCATATTGAATTATCTGGACGACTGGCTGATTTTGGCCCAATCACAGACGGAGCTTCTGTCGCACCGCGCAGTTCTCCTCGACCATCTGAAAACGCTGGGCCTCTCTGTCAACTGGACAAAGAGCTCCCTTCAACCCAGTCAATCGATTTCCTTTCTAGGAATAGATTTGAACTCGGTCACGATGACGGCTCGCCTGTCTACACAGCGCGCGCGCAGTGTACAGCGACTGGCCGCCTCGTTTCAGATGGGCACCCGCTCACCTCTGAAAACTTTTCAGAGGATGCTGGGTTACATGGCCTCAGCCTCCGCTGTGCTTCAGCTGGGCCTTCTGCACATGCGTCCGCTTCAGCTTTGGTTAAACAGCCGTGTACCCCACCGCGCGTGGAACACGGGCCGCCAGCTGATCAGAGTTACGCAGACATGTCTCACGGCGCTGCAGCCATGGACAGTAGCAGAATGGTTTCGACAGGGCGTCACGATGGGGACCTTTTCTCGCCGAAAAGTCATCTCGACAGATGCATCCAACACGGGTTGGGGTGCAGTCTGCGAGGGCTCACCGGCCTTCGGCCATTGGTCGACACAGGAAAGCCCCTTACACATAAACTGTCTGGAAATGCTTGCGGTCGAGAACGCGCTTTCGCGCTTCCTCCCGCTCATTCGGGGACACCACGTCCTGATCCGTTCGGACAACATGGCTGTGGTCTCCTATCTCAGTCGTCAGGGCGGTGTCAGGTCCAGGAATCTCTTCCTACTGACACACCGCATTTTAGTTTGGTCTCAGAGCCGCCTGCTCTCGCTCAGAGCGACGCATGTGCCGGGCCATCTGAACGACGGTCCAGACATACTGTCCAGGAACCTCATCTCCTCAGGAGAATGGTCCCTGAACATACAAACGGTCCAAATACTGTGGCGGCTATTCGGCAGAGCAGAGGTGGACCTCTTCGCGTCAGAAGAGAACGCTCACTGCCCAATATTTTTCTCAAGGAGCGAGGACGCGCTAGCCCAGGAATGGCCTCGCCGCCCGCTCTATGCATTCCCTCCGATCGCTCTGCTACCACAGGTAATTCAGAGGATCAGGGACACACGCCACTCGGTGCTCCTCATAGCCCCGCGTTGGGAGAGTCAGAATTGGGTTCCGGAGCTCACTCAGCTGTCGCAGACAGCCCCGTGGCCCATCCCAGTCAGAGCAGATCTCCTCTCTCAGGCTCGCGGCACGATCTGGCACCCCCATCCACGGCGCTGGGCGCTACATGCATGGGTGATCAACGACTATTCGTTGATTTGCCAGAAGGAGTAAGAAACACTATCATACAGGCTAGAGCACCTTCCACGAGAAGGCTCTATGCGTCTAAATGGTCTGTGTTCTCAAAATGGTGCACCGACAAACATCTGGACCCACGGTCATGCGAGGTGCCGTCTTTGCTTGTTTTCCTTCAAGAGATGCTGGACAAGGGCAGGTCCCCCTTCACTCTCAAGGTTTACGTGGCAGCCGTCGCGGCGTTCTCTGAACCCCGACGCGCTCAGTCCCTGGGCAAAGACGAGTTAGTCATCCGCTTCCTCAGGGGAGCTAAGAGGATGAACCCTCCGCGCCCCCCTTCGGTTCCTATCTGGGATCTTTCTATAGTTCTCGAAGCTATGAAAGCACCCCCGTTCGAACCGCTCGAGTCTGTGGACCTAAAATACCTCTCGCTCAAAACCGTTTTTCTGACGGCTCTGTCCTCAGTAAAACGCGTGGGGGATCTTCACGCGCTCTCATCCAGCGCCGCGTGTCGCGAGTTTGGTCCGAATGATTCTGTTGTCATTCTCAAACCTAGACATGGCTATGTCCCGAAGGCGATTGGTACCCCGTTCAGGGCTCAGATTATTTCCCTATCGGCTCTGCCTTCATCCGATAGTGAGCGCGACGCCAATCTCCTCTGCCCGGTGCGGGCTCTGAGATTGTACACTACGCGCGCTGCCGCGTTCAGACGCGCTGAGCAGCTTTTCGTGTCGTTTGGGGGGCGCACCAAAGGTCTGGCCGCCTCTAAACAGACACTGTCTAGATGGATAGTAGACGCTATCGCCTCTGCTTACGCATCTAAATGCCTGCCCTGCCCTCTGGGCATCAGGGCGCACTCCACTAGAGGCATGGCCTCATCGTGGTCATGGTCCTGTGGAATTTCCATTCATGACATTTGTGTGGCCGCGGGATGGGCCTCCCCGTCCACTTTTGTCAGATTTTACAACTTGGAAGTTCCCGCCTTGCAGGCAAAATTACTAGCTGTCTAAACGACCAGCTCCCTAAGAAGCTGCATTACTGGGAGTCCCTCACACAACCGGTTCGCCCCTTGTGCTCTCCTTAAATGCTTATACACTTCATGTGCCCGCTCTGCCGGCCTCATACATGCTTATGTATACACTTCATGTGCCCGCTCTGCCGGCCTCATAATACATTCACTCCACGTTAAAAGGGCGCCTCTCATTGGAAGCGGGTTCAGCCCCGCTCTCCCATAGGCTTAAGCAGTTCTCTCTGAGCGAACCAATGAGCTGCTAGCTAGCCTGCTCTAGGTCTGCCGCAGAGGAACTGCGTTGTGTATGGATACAAATTATGATATAATTTTTGGCTTCAATATCTCAGCAAAGATGAATCTTTCCCGCAGCGTAAGCTAGCTTACGCAATACTCGTTCCCTCTTCTAGAGAGAACCGAGGTTACGTTAGGTAACCGATTCGTTACAGGGTAAGTGTGACATTGTGGGCTGTAAATTAAAGTGGTGCTTGTTACCCTCTTGTTCCATGTAGTTACAGGGTAACAATAAAAATGCATACACACAATCTTATATCACTGACTCGGAAACCTTTATTTATTATGCAAGTACCACTTACCCTGTAACCACATGAAACAAGATATATATTTCCCAGTATTTAAAAAAAATTGCAATAGTCTTCGCTTTTCTTGCCTTGAAACATGTTAGCCCAACTTAAACATCTGCACTTTTGCTATAAAAAAATAAAAGTATAAATGCATAGATATGTACCCTGTAATTAAAAAAAAGCCTATACAGTATGTATTGGTACACATTTATTACAAAAAGGTACGCAGTGTTCTTGCTAAATTGCTCCCAAATGTAAGATTGTTGCATCATAATAGTAGAATAAGTTCCCCTTAGTTCTATAATACTTACAGTATAAATATTTTTTTAATTCTCCTGGTTGTTACCCCTTTATTCCCCAAACTTTACATATTGTTCCCTTATACTTACATGCAAGTACTTTATAGGTACACTATAATTCCCGAAAGTTACTCTGTAAATTCCTCTTAATTACACAGTACTTTCCGGGCTGTAATCTAAAGCGTTACCCAATTTTTTTTTTACAGTGTAGGCTGTGAAATCAAATGTCACTGTGAAATCAAAATAAATAATTCTTGTTTTTTTATAAGAATAAATGTAACAAACCTTAATTGAAATGAATAGGCCATTTGGGCTAAACTACAAAATGGGTGTATGTTCCATTTTAAAGGAATAGTTTACCCAATCATAAAAATGTCCATTATTTCCTGACCCCCATGTCATTCTAAAAATGTTGAAGAACATGTTACAGTCTTTTGGTGATTAAAAGATTGTCTCCTTTTACGTTCTCCCTGGTCAGGTGCTGCTGGGCTGTCTGCAGGTGTGGCAGCAGCCGTGGCATCTGTGGGTGGAGCAGCAGGTGCTGTAGTAGGTGGAGCTGCAGATTTGCTTTCTCGTTCCAAGAGTTCACCTTCACCTGGGGAGGAAGGCGATGAAGAGGAGGAAGAGATTGAGATGACCCAAGAGCTTATGCTAAAATAGATCCTCTGTTAATAACCGATGATAACAATGTATTTGTGTGAGCACTTTGTAGTTACAGTAGCCTATATATCAATTTTATGCACCTGTTATTTCAGCTTAAAAATATGAGGGATGCAATTTGTAATTTTCCCCTGCTTTAGGAAAATTAAACATTCTGTGCAGGGTTCTAAATTAACACCCGCCAAATGCGGGTTAAAATTCATTTTGGCGGGTGTTAATAAAAACTTACTAGCCAGTTTGGCCGGTGATGCATAAGGCTCTGTTCTCGGTCATTTATCCCCCTGGCAGTACTTCCTACATGTCCCATGAACACTGTGCCGTAATGCTACGTGATGACGTTTCATACGCCCATTGGCTGCGCAGTTTGCAGTGAAACCAGCGCAAGAAATGATCATGGAAATTGGAAACGAACGGAGCGTAGCCTACGCGTCCGTCCACCAGAAAAAACAAGGAAGATGAAGAACGAGCCAGAGCAGGGAGCATAGACTGAAAGAGGAGGGAGCTAGTAAAGTAAAAAGTTAAGATTAAACTAAATGCGGCGGTGGTTGGGACAGACTGCTGGGTTTAAATTTAAATGTCGTTTAACGAGAGATAGGCTACGTTATTTTTTTAAGTTTAAGGTTTTTGTCATTATTTCTGAACAAGCGTATACATTAGGCAATTACACAACAAGCTTACTATATATCTTAAGGTTTTCTTTTAGTTGAAAACATTAAACAATATGTGTAAACAAAAAAATATGAACAACAAAAGCATTTAAGCTCAAGCTGCGCAAACGGGGAAAAAACGCAACAAAAAAAGAAAAAAAAAGAAAAGCAGACTGCGCAGTTATCGTACAGAACGTACATACTCGAGTCAGCATATGATTAACGTGTTTATATTGTTTCACGTTCATGTTGAGAAAAACAATAATATCCACATGCTCGAGTGAGAAAACGCGCTGCGCTGACACAGACGTTGCAGAGACACGTGAGTGTGTGCAAAGTGAAGTAACCGCATGCGTTTTTCTGTTCTTAAACCTTTCTCCCTCAACGAAACTTAAAGGAAGCATATGTCTCAAAATCATTTTGCTACCAAAAGATATCATCTCGGATCACGATTCCCTCGGGGTACAGCTGCTGACCGGCAGTCGTTAATGCAGTGATGGACAGCTGCTTCCTCCTCAGTCGACTGGTGTTTCTTTGGATTTCATGTGATTTCTAATTGTGGTGGTGATATTATGATAACTCAGTTTAATTAATAATTGATTAAACGTAATTCCATTTTGTAATAGGCTATCATTTTCATCTAAGTAATTCCAAACTTCGCGAGGCAGACAACGACATTATGTGATCAAATACAATCCAAACGCACCCCGTGCATTTAATTATAACTGCGAAAAACCATTCGAATAGTATTTTATTTTTTGAATAATAATTACAGATCGAAAATTCGAATATTCGTGCACATCCCTAATAGATAGATAGATCCCAAACTTGAAATGAAATGTTTGCACTTTCTGTGTTGTAGGCCTATTGTAGGCTACTTTGTGTTTTTTCATGCCAATGTTAATAAAATGATCTAATGCATTCAGTGGCACTCATAATTTCTCTTATTTTCACCGGGAAAAATTTGGCTAGTGGAAATTCTAAATGGCTGGTAACTTTAGAAAGTTACCAGCCACATTGGCTGGTGATCAAAAAAGTTAATTTAGAACCCTGATTCTGTGTATATTTCTGTGTGGATACAGTTTGTGGGAATTTTATAGCCATTTACCTCCCATGTTCTCAGTTACAATAGGTTACTGCAATTTGTAAGTCTTTAGTCAAACATCTCTCATATAGTTGCCTTGTTCTTGAAATTGACTTGTATAACTCAGTCAGTATAGACTACGCAGTGAGCAAACAGCAACTAGCCTAATTAATCAGAACCATATAATCGAGTATGCCTTCCTCCAGTTTGTCTATTGTTCCACTCTTATTTGTTTGTGATTTGGTTTCGGTTTCCTTTCTTGGCCAGTGTCATTGGAGATAAAATACAAAATGCATAGCCTATCTATTTCAAATATTTTATCGTTTGATGATCTTTGAAGCTGCCAGTAGGGAAAAAAAAGCATGGCTTTCTTGGATGATTTTAAACTTTTACAATTACAGATACAGACATTGTTAAACTGCTAACTCTTAGTTAACCATTAATATATCCTGTCAAACAAAGTTGCAAAGATGTTATGTCATACAGATTTTATAAAACAATGTAGGCTAATTTGTAAGTCATCGCGCGCATGCGTGTTTAAACTTTTATATGAGGAAATCGAAACCTACTATGTAGGTTAAACAATGATGCGTGTTAAAATGTTCTTTTTTTCTGTGAATATTTTATTATTTATTATTATAATGCATCGAACAATAAAAAGACAGAACCGATAGAACCTATACAGGAGGAATTAAATGATCGAATCTTCATCATGTAGGCTAGCGTAAAGTTTCACAGAAAAGGAAATAAAAAAGATAGGCTAACAGTAGCTAGAAACACATACAGCGAAAACATTATGCATCAGTGGTCATTTTACGTCATCACGCTACAGGCTGATGTTGTTGTCTCTGATGTTAGTTTCGATTTCCTTTCTTGAAAAGTGACACAGAATGCTATTTAAGCAAGCTCACATAACAGATCAGTATAAACAAAGTCTCTGGTATAAAGCAAGAGCATCCTGAGTTTGTTCGTTTTAACCTAACAGAGTCGAATTAAGATGGATCCCTGTAAGTCTATAGGCTATAGCCTATCTTTAAATATCCTAACTAGAATTTTAAATGTTTATCAAGTTTAATTGTTTTTTTCTATCTCTCCTCTAGTAACGCTTCTTGCAGCAGGTGCAACAGCAGGTAAAATTCTTAAAAATATAATATATCTGGTTTGTCTGGTTCAGGCACGGCTTAAGCCAAAATGCATGTTTGAGCACAAAGCAACTTGCACTGATCTCAAAATATATCAGTGCTTTTTTTCTCAAGGTGCACATTAGTAGGCCTAATGTGTTTTTTTTTTTCTAAGGCACATTTTAAAAGCTACTGGGACGTCTAATTTAACTTCCATAATCCTATGAAAGCCCTGTCTGAAAGGGCTGCGTTCAAGAGTTGCAACTATTGCAGCTGAGAAAGCCATTCTTTGTGTTCTTTTTGAAGAATTTTCGGAGGCTGATGAAATCGGTATTTAAATACGCGTTCAACTGCAAAATACGCTATGTTACAGTCACTGCCCTTGCCGTCCAGAATAAAAGAAATTTCCCAATCGTAAAGGGATTTGTGGTTCCTAATTGATCCAACATTTGTCTCGCATTTCACGATGAAAAGACAAAAATTTCAGGTGAAGGATAATCCCCTTTTTACCTCCGAGAGACCGAGACTGTGTTATGATCTATGACCTTATTATTTTTATTGTTTATTAGGCTATTTACATTTGTAAACGACTTTACTTGGGCTGCATTTAATGCACAGATCCGATTTTTTTGGTCTGTTTAGGCTATCGTTACTCACTTGTGTAGGCTATACAGCTGATTACATTTATTCCCGCCCAATATGATTTTCGATGATCGTTTTTACCATGCCACATGTAGACCCTGGTTTTGAATGGCCGTATTAAAATGATTTATAATTCATGTCGGGTGGTCATGATTATTTTCCAGCATAACAGTCAGCTGTCATGACTCATGAATGTTTTGCAGCGCAAAATCTGATGGAACAGTATAGCATAGTCCGGAAATAATTTTCGTTTATCTACAGCTCAGATCTAGAATTCTGAAGTGAAGTGGTTTACATGTTGCTGCTGATTGGGCTGACATTTTTGAAACGCCTCCCAAACAAGAGAAAACTTATCTCAAACCCCGTTGCACACCGTTTCCAAAGTCGTTCAACCGGTGCACCAGTTTGAGCTTGAACTTGCCCTTGCCCCAGGACTTTATTTTATAGTTATATGCTGTTTTATGTTGTCAAAATCAACATTACATAAAATCAAAAGTGTATGGTCACATCATGATGACAACATGGTGAATGTAGGCCCTACGTCCAGATTATAGGCTATATTATTCATACTACACATATTCAAATGTAGGCTTTTTTAGTGGTCATGAAGTAGCCTAATTACTTCAAAATAAGTGCCTACTCAAGAGAGTATGCAATTTCGGATTCAGAAAATGTGTAGTGCTGAGGTGCTCCAGGACAGGTTAAAAAAAACAGATTTTGTGGAATATCTTAATTATTTTAATGGAATTTGATCCACCTTAACTACTGTGTTTCTCCTATTAGCTGGAGCAATTGTTGCCGCTCCTGCTGTTATAGCAGCAGCCGGTTTCACCGCAGGTGGAATTGCTGCAGGTTCAGTTGCCTCCACTTTGATGTCAGCTGCTGCCGTGGCGAACGGAGGAGGGGTCGCAGCTGGATCTGTGGTAGCTGTTCTTCAATCTGTTGGTGAGCCAAATATCTGGATTTTTTTTTCATCTTTGCACTTTAACAATAAAACTGATTTATGCAAGGGGCAAATAGGTATAGGCCTACACAAACTTTTTCAACTGACATTTTTCATGTCATTAGGTGCTGCTGGAATCCCTTTGGCAGGTCAAGCCATCGTGGGGGCTTTGGGAGCCACTGTGGGGGCAGTTGCTAGCATGGCTAGCAACTGTACTGTGTAACTATAAATCTGTGCATTTATGTATGTTTCTAAAAAAAAGAAATCATTATATTATCATTATCTCATTGTATGTCTTGATTAACATCAGTGGTCTATCTGTATCAGTTTAGGTGTAAGGGTGCTGTTTATAAGCAAATAAAATACAAATAAAAAGTCTCTTTCTGTCATTTATTTATCGTAAACTAATGTTGTACTGTGACTGCTCAGAGTTACTCACTTAAACTGTCATAAGGGAAGTTTTCCTAATGAAAAGGATTCCTCAGATTGCCCTTAGAGGAACACACTGAAGCCAAGCCACAAGGCACCATTTGGTGCTCAAGTAACTTCAATGTATATTTATCAATATATTTCTCATTATATAGTATATTCCTTATTGGCTCAAACCATGTTATGACCATGTCTCAAACCAACCTTATGGGGTTACTGGAGAA